GAGAGAGAGAGAGAGAGAGAGAGAGAGAGAGAGAGAGAGAGAGAGAGGGAGAGAGAGAGAGATAGAGAGAGAGAAGCACACACAATATATATCTATGTAATATTAATTATAAATGGAAAATAAGACTTTCGTAATACTATATTATGTAGAAAAAATTAGGCATAAGCCAACTTTACAAAAAAAAGCACAATTTTTTCGTCAAGCTTTCGAAGAATATATCCACTTCTTCAATTTCATGAAAAACTTTTTAATGATTTACACGGTTCATAAATATAAATATCTCCTTACAATTTGTTGTTTTAACCATAACGAATTTAGAAGTTGAATTATTTTTACAATTTAAGATAAATTGGAAGATAGTTTTGTTTAAAAGTGACCTATTAAATCCGATTTTTTAATCAAAAACACCGGCATCCCTAGTTTTCATATAACCTCATAGTTGAAATAGCCCCGTAAAAACATCCAACTTAAATTTTCTGAATTTCACAATCTTATATCTTCAGATGATTTTTACTTGGCGACAATATTGTTAAAACTAACGTTGTATTTTGATTTTTTCTTTATTTTAAGTCTGACACTGAATGTATAACATTGTTCATTTATAAAATATTGTTTAATGGTCCTAAATGTAGCATAAATAACAATCCGAATCTCTCAAGGGATGTTTCGTATCGAGAATACGTTATAAATAATGTAGGATGTTAAAAGGTTGTATCCTTATGAACGAATAAATATACAAGATTACCAGTACGATTTGTTTTATTATGTTGACTACATGAGATAAGATAACCGAATTGCAGTAACAATAACTGTAATTCAATTTTAATTGCAAGTAACTCTTGTCCATTCTGGTAAGTTTCATTATTAGTTCGTTATAATCAAGCCATAATTTTTAATCTTGTTAGTAGAAATTTATGTTTTATTGACCGTGTAAATCATTAGAAATAGTTTGTAGTTCTTTTGAGAGGCATGTATACTTTGAATGATTGAAAGGAGAGAAAGTTTTGAAGGAATTGTGTATTTTTCATTGTTTCAAACAAGACAACGCCTTATCCCTGATCGTTATATTCAGAATTATAATATTAAGGCTGAGTCAAATAATTGAATAAATTTGATTTGTTCAAAATTTAATTGGATTTTCATTGAAAAATTTACATAATTACATGCAAAAGAGAGATCGTATCGATGAAAAATATATTTTAATATAAACTGTATATAGAATATGAAAATATATGAAGTTTTATTTGACTAAAGATAATTATTTATTTAGAAACCGTGAGATGCGGTCTGGTGTGATGTAGGTTTCCGAAAAACATTTTCTTTATCGTGCCAACGTTTCGATCTTTATTGAGATCATCTTCAGGGCCTGGGATTTACAAACATTGTTTATATATAACAATTACATTTTGGAAGTGGAAAAGTGAATTTATACAATGCAAAATATATTTTTTATATATACAATCAAAGTATTTCTACTCACTCAAAGTGTTTGTCTTCTGTGAGTAGAAATACTTTGATTGAATATATAAAAAATATATTTTGCATTGTATAAATTCACTTTTCCACATCCAAAATGTAATTGTTATATGTAAACAATGCTTGTAAATCCCAGGCCCTAAAGATGATCTCAATAAAGATGGAAACGTTGGCACGATAAAGAAAATGTTTTTCTGAAACCTACATCACACCAGACCGCATCTCACGATTTCTAAATAAATATCGATTAACGGTTACTAATCATCACACATTTCTACAAAAGATAATTATTTTTATATTATACGTACGTTCAAATATTATAGAAAACAACTTCATTTTGTATTGAGTTGGTGCCAAATTAACGCAGGTTTTGAAAATTTGTTTTAATTTTTGCATGTGCTTGTCATATAAACAAAGCTAAATAATCAAATATAATTTATGGATTATAATAAATTTTTTTAACTGTTTTCTTCCATACAAAACATTTTACTTTATATTGCATTTTATAAGAATTAGGACTTGCGGAATTAAATATGTACAACCTAAATTTTCGTCAAATTTATTTGTACAAGTTAAAATTGGCCGAAGTGCAGCCCAAACCGAACGTAACATCAATACAGTTCGGGGGGAAGCATTAGAGACTGCAAGGTGCAGCGATGGTTTCAAAGAGTTTTTCTTGGAGATTTCAATCTCGAAGGCAGGGAAGGTCGCGGTATACCCCCGTTGTGACGTCGGCCAACTAAAAAAAGTTGATTGTAGAAAATTCACGTATGACAACACGGGAAATTGTGGAAGAGCTTAGTGTTGACCACTCAACCTTTGTTCGACATCATGAGCAAATTGGTAAAGTAAAGAAGCTCGACCAAAGAAATCGACGCTTTGAAATATACACGTCTCTTCTGTTGCGCCGTCGAAATGATCCATTTCGCGATCGAATCATCACGAGGGATGAGAAATGGATTCTTTACGATAACAGTGGAACCTGCAGTACAGCCAGTGATTGGAAAATGATGAAGCGCCAAAACATTTGCAGAAACCAAATCTTCGCCCGACAAAAGGTCATGGTGACTGATGATGTACTGCTTTGGTTGTTCATTATAATTTCCTGAATTATGGTGAAACTATCACATCAGAGAAATATTGCCTTGAAATAGACAAAGTGCACGGGAAACTGCAACGTTAGTTCAGCATTGGTGAACAGTAAAGCGCCGATTTTCCTTCACCAGGCCACATGTCACAATGCCAATCCTGCGGAAACCTCAGTACTTAGGAAATGAAGCCTTACCGCACCCTCAATATTCACCCGACCTCTCGCCTACAGGCTTCCACTGTTTAGGCATTTTATCACTTCTTAAGGGATAAAATTTTTAGAGAATGCGGTGAAGCCGAAAACTCCTTCATTACATGATTGTGAGTCAAATAAAGATTTTTATATCTGCGGAATAAAAGCGCTTATTACACTTGGCAAAGAAGCATAGATTTTGAATTTTATTTCGAATAAATTTTCTTTATTTTATTTATTCCAAAACCTGCATTCTTTTTGCACCAGCCCAAAATAAAATAAAATAAATAAATAATGAAAGACGAGATTGTCTATCATGTACTATATAAAATAAAATAGCCCTGTTTTCCCCAAAAATCCGAACGGGGGACGTTATAATAACAAATTTAAAAAATATTTTTTTAGTTACTATTATATCCAATAATTAAGTATTTTTCTTATAGCTCATCTATATACGTAGATAACTACTCCAATCCTTAAGTAAAACTATAATACTATTAATTTTGCATCGTAAATTATTTTTGTAACTATTCCAAGGTTTATTAATTGAAGGGTGCCAATCCTCGGTTCCATATTCCTATTCTTGGATAAAACAGGTTGTTATATAGAAATGATTTCAGGTGGGATGAGTATGGCAATTCACTTTTCCAAAAACAAGGTGATTTCATTGTATATCGTACAAATAGTTTTGTGTCTCCTAGTGAGTGTTGAGAGTGAATGTATTTATTGGCGAGAATGCGTAATGTGTTATGTGGCAAAACGACCTGGCGGTTGATAGCCCTTGGAACCCAACTTCGGCGTCTGAACGGGTAAGACCGAGTTGCCAACACAAGGGGTGAGTGATTCTTAATGCGTGCATTACCCATTTCTTATAATTATTGTTATATGTTAATTAATGGTAACTTGTACATTACCAAAGCTGGAAATGACAGTGGACGACGAGAAGTGATTGGCTCAACTCTATACACGTACTTGTGTATGAACATGTGCAGTTTTTACGTTGTGCAAATCCGTAAACTGAACAAAGTAATCACATGAAATTAACGAATTCACGTCAGTTTTACTTAATTTGGTTTCGAATAATTTGACTATTCATCAATTTACATAATAAGATAATATCCATGCGTGCACAATCAATTAACCATTGCCGCTAGATGGTCGGTATAAAAAAAGAACTGTAAAATAATTAGTTGGCGTGATTTGCGTTTCATGTTTAAAACAAATAAAGGGACGTTTTATTAAAAAATATCGTTATTTCGATACATCTAAGGGTTATTTTTCAAAATTGGATAATTCCTTCAACCGGGGTGAAACTAAAATGAATATTGCATTTTACTATGTAAACGGTATTAATTTACGCTAAAGTTTAAGCATAAATTTAATGTCATAAAACTTTTTTAAATCTCATTAACAACATATTCATAAAATAGCGCACTTGGTAATATGTTAATCAACATTTACTGCAAATGGAATATACATATATATGGAATATATATTCCATATATATGTATATTCCATTTGCAATAAATGTTCATTAACATATTACCAACTGCGCTGCTGTATGAAAAAGTATAATAAAACAATTGCTGAAAATCATGTTTATTCATGTACGTACGTTTCACGGGAAAGAGAGTCATAAACCTATCAAAAATATGTATTAGACCCAATGTTATGAGTAAATGGTAAATTTGAGAAAAATATACCGTTGAGTTTTAACTTTTCCAAACTTTTTAAGTAGTTCGAAACTTTCACGTGATTCACTTGATTGAACAACTGCTAAAAACACAAGTTTTCTCTTAAGTGCTTCAGTCGATTATTCATTAGAAGTTCTTGAAGTGAATTTTTCATATCATTCTTGCATTTCATTTTTGAAACCCGAACTGGTAAAATGATCTATTTTCTTGTCTATAAAAATGTATTCACTTATTTTAAAAGTCTGTTTTTATTCGTTAATTTTGCCATTTGAGAAAATTAATTGTACTGTTTGAATTTTAGGTTTCTGCTGGAAGAGTGCGTGCTACACTAGAATCAACGAAATACCGACGAGGCAGAAATTTCGTAAGTCATTAATTTATGGACGAAAGCTGCTCATCGACCCTCCGGCATCGATTTATCTTATATTACCCTAGAATCTTATATAATCGCAGAAAGTCGGCTAGTATCCATGAATACAGAGTAAAGAAACGCATTAAAAATCCTTCGAGGCCAGAGTAAATTTGAACAACGGAGAGGGGCGATGAGTCAGAAAGGATGGCTTAGAAAACAAACTTTCCCTTGCTTTTTCTTTCAATTTCGAGCAATCCTCTTTCGATATAAATCAAAGTTTAAAACGGCTATTCGCAACAATAACCTTATTATTTACTTTATTTCGTACAGCCTTACGCTTGAGCAATCTTCATCCGTAAAACAATATTAACTCCTATCTACTCTGAGTGTTGGCTTCTATTACACTTAACAAAACAAGCAGTTTCTCTTTTTCCAATTTTTTTTTTATCATTACACAAAACGGATTTGACGAGGTACACACTGAGGTATGTAATTGAAGAATAAATAATAAAAATAAAAATTACATTGCAATCTTATACGAAACAATTTTTTATTTATATTACCCAGTATCCATTAAAAATTGATAATTATACTACCCCATACAATAAAATAGCAAACATCTAAGAGAAAAACATCAATAAAATCTATCCAGTAACGATCGATATCGCAAAGAATATAAAAATCTAAAAATTGCTGGCGATCATAAATTTAAATGAACTTTGAAAGGTAAATTATACGGCAAGTAGTAATTTTTATTGGAAAAATCAAACTTAAATGCCTTTTAAGTTAATAGCCCACAATTGAAGGTTAGTATTATTGAAACGTTTTAAATTAAATTTATTAGATTTCGTGGTCCGATTGACCAAATAACATCATACAATTATGATGATGGGAGGTTGTTGTCAGAGTGGTCGTGGGTTCGAATCTCGCTCGTGACACTGACTTTTCATCTCAACCAATACTTACAAAAAGATTAATTAATTTAATTAATTAATTATTTATTTGATGTAAGTATTTGATATTTTGATATAATTATTTAATATTATTAATTATTTGGTCAATTGGGCCACGAAATCTAATGAATTTAATAAGTTAAATGAAGTATATATTCACGAAAGCTCTCCGTGGCCATTTCATTTGTCGCCGAGTATCAAATAGATTACACGATATTTGAAAAATGGCAGAAAGGAGGGAAAATTCAAAAGGTTGGTTTGAGATGGGGGTTGGTGTCCGAATGGATCGAACTTACGATAGCTCAAGTGGTAGAGCACCGGCGTATCAAGCCGAAGGTCGTGAGTTCGAATCTCGCTCGAGACCCTGACTTTTTATCTCAACCAATACTTACAGAAAGATTAATTAATTGGAATGTTTTAAATTAAGATGGTAACTATTTTAAAACTGGTATCGATTCTAGATGGAACATCTCAGTTTTAATTTAAGTCGATTTTGTAAATGGAACAAATTTAAATATTTTTAAATTTTGCTATTCAAAGATAGAGATAATCAAAATCGATTTACTGGTTTGTCTCTATGACTTAAGACTGTATTCACTTTTTGAAATTGCAAACTTTGCCCTGTAATCATCAAACATGGTTAGAAATTTAATAAAAATATTGTCAATAGTTTTAGGGTAAGCTATATTGGTCATTGCCAGCCCTTTTTTATTTGCCGTTCTTTTCTTTGCCGTCTAGCATTTTGTTCCTCCGAAGACATTTTGACACACAGCACCCAACTTATATTAAGTTCTATTGGACTTTTATTTGAAGGCAATAGTCTCTAACGCTTTTCCAGCCCCATTGACAGCCTTTTTTTTAACAATCTTACCAAAGCCTGGTCAATCGAGGTAATACATATAATAAACACAAAAGTCTTAATAAAAACATATGAAATCACAATAGTCCGGTTAGCATTCACATTTCCCTTGGCTCTGTAAATACTCAAACACCATACTTTTTTCTAAGCCAGGAAAACCAGCCCAAAATGCATCTTCCTACTGTACAATTAGCCTGTTCGCTCTCTTCTCAAAAATATTTGAGAAGATACTCAAAAAACGATAGATTCCTACACTTAATACTTTCAACCTTCCCCCAGACCACCAATTTGGTTTTCGCACTCAACATTCTACAATCCAGTAGGTGCTTCGCGTTGTAAACCATATATCCTTATCCTTAGAGCGTAAAGAATTCTGTATGGGGACGTTTCTAGACGCGTCACAAGCGTTTGACATTTCAGGCATGAGGGTCTTCAATACAAACTGAAGTCCTTACAAACACCTTATACTTAATCCTTCGCTCCTACCTTACAGGACGATTCTTCGAGTTCGCTAAGGGTCGGACTTCTCCGAGCCCTATTTTGTGAGAGCGAGAGGGTCACGGGGCAGTGTGCTCGGACCACTCCGGTTTCTTCTCTACACCTCAGACTCGCAACTACTCCCTCTACCAATCTTGCATTCTCTGCAGACAACACATGTGTGTTTTCCTCTGATACCTATTCTGCAATAGCCTCGACGGAGCTCCAAGCACACGTCCAAGGAATAGCCGAAGGACCACACTGTATCCACCATTCCAAAAATCAATTGAAACAAGTGCACCCATGTTACATTTACCGTCAGAAGGAAAACCCCTTACTGAATATTCCTCAACCAAATTCTATCCCTAAAACCGACTGTGAACTTTGTGTTCTATCTTGACACACGTTTAATATGGAACATGCAAATAAAAAGACTTCCTACGGAACAGACGCATCGGACTTCGCTATAAACTTCACGGACGGAAATCAAACATACCGACAAAAAACCAACAGACACTCTGTAAAACATTATTGAAACCATTTTGGACATACGGACTAGAACTGTGGGGCACCGCTAAACCTACCAATATCCATCGAATTCAGTCCTTCCAATCCAAAGCCCTCAGAATCGTAGTCACCCTACTATGTCTCCAATGCCACGCTCCACAAAAACCTCAAAAAAAACCTCTACAAATAAATTAATCCGCACCAAATTGTCCACATTCCATGAAACTATCCTCACATCCTAATACATTAGCCCAATCCGTGTCCAACATTATCCATCCCTACAAACTAGTAGGGCGCTCTGAGCGGAGATGGCCTCGGGACCTCATGATGAATAGTTCATAAATAACTATAAAGCTGGGAGAGCAACAATGATTGCAGGCTCCCCTCAGGATATTTTCAAATGATAAATACTGTATCACATTACATAATGTATACATTAGTACAGATGATAATAAATAATTTAAAAAAAAGCATTCACACTGCCCCAGATTAATCGATATTCCTCGTGGTTATAACGGAAGACGCACCTTTATTCACACTAATAAATGATATTCACTAACTCTCTATGTATTCCTCGGGATCTCTTCTTGTACTTTAATAAATTATGTTTCTGCAGACCATTAATACAATTTTTTCATTAAATCCAATGTATACAGCCTTACAATACAAATCTCGTTCATTCCTGCCCGAGTATTTGTTATTCCTAGCGGAACGAAGGATCTGGTCCCTCCGTTTTGGCTAATAAATTAATTCCAATAAATAACAAATAGACATTGAAAAAAACATTAAAAAAACATAAAATCCATTGAAAATTTAAAAAGCAAACCCTTTCTTAGAATTTGAATTATTAATATAGTTTGTTTAACATATTTATATTTTATATCTCCATATATTTGATATTTGCATGGTAGTTTTGTATTGAAAAACTCAAGGATAAGAGAATTGTTTCCGATATTAGAATAGACGGGTTATAAATCTCTTTTCTCTATCAACTCGGAAAATCACAATATTTCAAAATAATTAGATATTCATATTTTTAACCTTGTGAATTATTCATATTAGTTCCAAAGTCCTGATGAAAGGGTCCTCGATAGCTTTATTAAGGAATTAAGTGTTGTTTTATGTTCTTTCAAATTGGCCTTATTACTCATGTGTTAACACAAAATTACTGTATATAAGTATGAATTTAAAAAAGCATCAGTATGATGGACAAAACCAGACGTTGAATGTCAAGAAATGAGACAGAAATTTTTTTATCCTTTGTCAAAAATATGCTGAATACAAATATGGGTCCTGATTTAACGTTTTACATTTGTAATTTTAAAGGGAGATGGAATCAACGTTTTCAATCAAACTTTTTTTTGTTTGTACTAGGTCGAAACATGCTACATGCCTTATCACCGGTATGCATATGTTTCATGTTATTATGTGGGTATTCCCGTCGGAATAGTATAACGAAAAGACCCTTCTAGTAAAATAGTTTAAAAAATATTTGATGATTCGTTTTAAACAACATTTAAAACCGTTTAACATGAATTTTTATAGAAAAAATATTACCACTGTGGCCGTGGGCATTATTCGTGTTTTGCATACCAAAATACGCCTGAATACAAATTTTTGTAAAAATCAAAACGAAAACCTTTTCTTCAAATATTTAGGCTTCCAAATACTGATATATTTAATACAACTTTAGGGATCTACAGGAAATGTTACGTTTAGCGCCGTATAAACTACGCGTAATAGTTGAGTTGCAAAAAGAAAAGTTCGAGGAGTTTATGTTGAATTCATCTTTATTTTTCCACCATACGACGACAAAATCAAAACCTTGTTGGCCAAGACAGATGGACAAGAAATTAAGCTTTCTAGCGGTTGCAAAAATGTTGGATTTGGATAAAATCCAGAGGTGTTACGAATCGGAGTTAAGTGGAACACCTGACATCGTCGAGAGAAAAAGATTGCCCAGGCGAACCCAGCCAGAATATATATATATTTATTATTGCGATGAAAATCGTATTTAATGGTTTTAAATAGTGCTTAAAAATAATCCGATTTTATGTGGGTTTTTTAATAAAAATGTTTTTTTGACGTTCTTTACTGTATGCATATTTTATTTTTGTAAATTTTTACATACCTGATTTTCTTTTAATACGATCTTACAGATTATTTTGTTATCCTACGTAAAAAATTGAATGATATATAATAAAAAATATTTAAAT